AAACAGTGGTTTACAACAAATTACTGAGGCTGCCCCATGCCTCTAGGCATGTGTGCCAGGGGCAGGGCCAGCTGTGGCCTCTCAGGCAGTGCTGAGGTCCAAGGCCACCTGACAGCCTCAGCTCCCACTTTTCTTGAGCAGGGGCCTGAAATCTCTCAGACGGGACCCTTGGGCACAGGCCAAGTGGCAGCCCCTCCTTAGACGGGACTGGCTGGAGTGAGCTTCTATCCAGGAGCCCTGAGCCCTGCCAGACACCTCCTCTCTTTGACTAGACAAGGGCCAGAGGCCCTGGGGCCCCCTGAGGATTCCAGGAGCACAGGGCCCAGTCCAGGATGTTTCCCAGGGAGAAGATGGAACTCTTGGGCTTGGAGAACGTCCTGTGCCCTGCTCAGCACCCCACTTCAAGTCTTGACAAGACGGCCCTGACCCCGAATGCCGCCTGGGCTCAGCGACTCATCTCCTCCCTAATTAAATGTGACCCAGTAACTGACCGGCTCCCCTGCTAGGCCTTGGGCCCTGCCCAGCCCAGGCGGTCCACCTCAGCCCACCGCAGATCCCCACCCCCACCCAGGCCCCGCCTCTCCAGTGCCAGGCTCCTTCCCAGGCACAGTCTCTGCACCTCAGGCCTTGCAGCCAGAGCCTTCTGGCTCCAGCCAGCTCTCACTGCTGAGCACCGAGGGCTAAACCCCACTTGGCCCCTGGGTTCCTAATCAAAGCTGGCTTCCCCCCCCCCTCATTCCAGTGCCCTTGAACCCCAGATAAGCCCTCTGAGGGTTACAGACATGAAGTGACTGGCCCAGGATCATGCCATTCACAGACATGGACCCGCGGCAGAGAAAGAGGCACCACTTCTAGTTAAGAGCTTGCAACACTGAAAGAATCAATCATGAAAGTATACTCCACAGCACGCCTTCCAAGTGGCGCCCCAGCCCTGCACACTTGCGCACTGGGAAAATGCGCCCGGTCGGTGAGGAACCAGGCTCTGTGCTGAGCCTGCACCCTGGGCCCGAAGTGCCAGGCTGTCACGGCCTGTGGACCAAACATGTCCTTTTCTGCCTGGAAGGGCCTAGGCTCCTTCGGAGGACCAGGGACTCCTTCTGAGGTGGCACACTGGCAAGCCTCGGCATGGCCACCACAGCAGCCCTCAGTGCCAGCCCAAGCCACACATACAGTCCACAATCAGCCCCAAGCCACATGGCCAGGGGTGCAGACACCTGCATTGGGGTGGGAGAGGACCACCCTCTGCCCCACCCTCGTGGGCCTCTCAGCCAACTGCAGAGAGAGGAGGGAAGGAGGAAAAGGAACCACCTATGGGACTAGCTGTGCTGAGCAAACACAAGACCCTCCTTCCTCCTCCTCTTCTTCCCCCTCCTCCTCCTCCTCCCTTCCCCACTGCCCAGCCCCCAAAGACCCTGACCCAACTGTGGGGTGGAGGCTGAGGCCTCTCCTCCTGGGCTCCAGAAGGGGCATGGGAAAGGCATGGTCTTCTTCTCTCTGGGAGCCAGGCTCCGGGGAAGCAGTGTGACTCGCACCCCAAGTGAGAAGCCCCTGCTTGGCCATGGGTCCTCCCCACTGCAAGGAACCTGCAGGGCAGGGGGTGGAGGTGGGCAGCTGGGAAAGGCCAGTTTGCCTCAGGGACCACTACAGCTGGGATCCTTACTCTTCACACCTGCAGCAGCCTTAGGGGAGCTCTGGGAGAAGGCAGAACCAGAGCTCTCCGAACCCCTGCCTGCTTGCTCTACCTAGCAGGGAACCCAGCAGCAGAGGGGCAGGTGATGGCGGCAGTGTCCACTGGAGTCGGCACTGGGGCTGCACAAAACCCTGGCTTTGGGGAATCTGGGTGGAAGGAACAGAAACTCCAGGGTTCCACATGGACCCTCACCTCCCAACAACAGGCCCAGTGGTCAGACCAGTCACAAGCTGGAAGTGCCCTCACAGTTTTCCCTGCACCACCAGGGAAAGGCGCATCCATCCTCGAAGTCACAGGTTCAAATTCCAGTTTCCCCATTTACTGAGTGGGCAGCAATGTGACACTCTGGTGCCTCAGCGTCCTCATCCTTGAGATAGAAATGGTGGTGAGAACTGCTTTGTCAGGCAGCTGCGAGGCGTTTGCACAGTTGGCCTCATAGGATCATTCTAGAAAGGCCCTCTGGCTTGAGCCCTGGAGCATTCAGAGCGCTGGACACGCCTACACCGTGTGCACTCACCTGAACCCCTCCCAGGCCAGCCCTAGTGGGGCCAAGATCAACACACAGGTTGAGTGACTCAGCCCCCAGTGGGGACAGGTTTCCTGGGACAAGTCATGACAGGTAGGTCTGGGGCTCCTCCAAGGCCCAGCACACACTGCGTCTAGTGGAGACAAGGGCACAGGCCCAGTGTGCCCAGGCTCCTGGGCAGAAGTGGGGCACCCCGTGCACCCAGGGTCGCAGCCGGCATTGCTTGCCCTAGAGCCTCAGGTCCACCACTGCGTACGGGAAATGGAGCAGCCCGGAGGGAACCGCTGCGGGTCAGGGGAGGGGTGAAAATGTGGGGACTGGGGCCTCCAGTGCTGCCAAGGTCCTCTGTCCTTTCTCCCCATCGTGTGTCTCGAAAGCCACCAGTGGGAAGAGACTGGGCTCCCGGTCACTCAGAATGGTCACTCGAGGGAAAGCAAGATGAAGAATGGGGAGGGAGAGATGAGTTTTCCTGGAGAAGGCCATCCCGGTGGGCACACACTGGAGGAGGCATCACCTGGGCTCAAAGGGATCAGTAGGAGCTCCTGGGCCTTGAAAACTGAGGCCACTGTCCAGCCCTTGCTGGCCCCCGCAGGCAGGCAGGGGAGCAGTACGCATCCTGGGCAGATGCAGGACAGGAGTGGAGCTGAGCAGAGCCATGGAGCCAGGGCCGGGGCCTGGGGAGTGAGTAGCCGGCCGGGCATCTCCAGTCTCACAGCTGAGACACCTGGCCTGGCAAACAGTGAGTTTTTTTTTTTTTTTTAAATGTGTGTGTGTGTGTGTGTGTGTGTGTGTGTGTGTGTGTCCAGCTCAGCCCACCAGGGGGCGGG